AATACACTTAACTCGTAAAAAAAAAAAAACAGAACAGAAAGCATAAGAAATGGAAGGAAGAGAAAAAGTAGGAGGAGGAGGTGGTGGAGGTGAAGGTGTAGGTGTAGGTGTAGGGGGAGGGGAGAGGGAGGAGAGAGAGAGAGAGAGAGAGAAAAAAAAGAGAAGAAATAAAGAATAGGGGGATGAAAAATAAAATCGTCTTTGAAAGGAGTTTATTGCTACGAACGTATATACTCGTATTTTCCATCGTTTTCAAAACGTAATTACCTCTTTATCGTGTGCCCGTTCTTTGTTTCCATTTTACGCTGTTTCTAACGCTAAAGGGTGGATGGTTGATGGTGGATGGTTGTGGTGGTGGATAAAAAGTGAGAGAACAAGAGAGAGAGAAAGAAAGAAAGAAAGAAATAAAGGGTGAAAGGTAAAGGTAAAGGGGGAAATAATGGTAATGAAAAAATTATGACGACGTATAACGCAAAACTACAAAACTACAAAACTCCTACCCTTATTCTTCTTATTGTTGTTTTATTTTTTTTTTTTATTTCTAGTTCTTGTTCCGATTTTTATTTTTTTTATTTTTTTATTTTTTTTTTTTTTTCTGAACGAAAAGTATTGCAAACAAAGTGCCCGAAGGTATTCGTAACGGGACTCTTTCGAAGATAAAATGTGTACACGTATATATTGTAATGTGAGTATAGTGTAAGTGGAATGTATATATATATATGTGTGTGTGTGTGTGTATATGTAAGAGAGAGAAAGAAAGAGAAAGGAAAAAAAAATCAAACGTAGTATTGTAGGTTTTAAAATCGGGTCACGTTTATATTATATATATATATATAGAAACTCAGGTTACATATAAGAAAAAAAACAAATTCTTGCTTACGTTTCCACCCGATAAGATTCAATCCTATTTTCTTTGATGATACATAAGTGTGTATATGTATGTATATATGTATATATGTAAGTGAGATAAGTATGTATTAAGGGTTGAGTAGTTTAGGGTAGGGTCGTTTATTTGATTTTATTTTTTATCTTTATTTTTAAGATTGTAATAATTTTTATTCGTATATTTACTATAGTTGTTCTTTTTCTACTTTAATATATATTTATGTTATTTATTAATTAATTAATAATATAAATTAATATTATAATTATATATTACACGTTATATTATATTTTATATATTATTATTATTATTATTATTATATTAATAATATATAATTATATATTTAACATATTAATCTAATTATATATTAATATGAAATATATAATTTTTAAATTATATAATAAAAACTTTTTATAACAAACTAATTAACTTATAAAATAAATAAAAATAAATTGGAAATTTTTAATTATAAAAATTCAACATATAAATATTCTATGATATATTAAAAGAAAAAATAATAAAACTGTATTAACAATAAGAATAAAAAATATTATATTAAATTATAAAATTTATATTTGACCAAGAAAGAAAAAAAAAGGAAGTATAATAGGTATACCTACTCAAAAAAAAAAAAAAATAAGTTTAGAAGATTTAGAGATAAAATAATTTTGATTTTGACTAATCTGCGTGCACAACGTTCGTGTGCATATACAAACATTATACATACACACATGTACACATACGTAGAAACATATGAAGNAATATTATATTAAATTATAAAATTTATATTTGACCACAAAAAAAAAAAAATAAGTTTAGAAGATTTAGAGATAAAATAATTTTGATTTTGACTAATCTGCGTGCACAACGTTCGTGTGCATATACAAACATTATACATACACACATGTACACATACGTAGAAACATATGAAGTTTCTATGAGAGATATAGGAATGAACGAACGGTAATTCGTGTATTCCGTTTGACGAGGTACTACAGGGTGATTAAGTTAATAACAGCGTGACGTGTTCTCAGTGCATAAATTATTTCAATACATATATATACATATACATATATATATACATATAAGGTTGCGTATTAAGCACGTAGGATCGTTGGTAAGAAGGATCCATTTCTACTAACTATAATATCAACGTGTACATAGAAAAGTTAACTCAGTTTTAAGTATAAGTGTGTAATACCAAATGGGGTGGCTGGGTGGGTGGCTGGTGATTTTAGCAACGTACACGTTTCACGTTTCAACTTATATTTTCTACAATTTTATTGCTTATTGCTTTTCTACAGAAAATGTAGAACCATAATAATACATAACGTAATCGTATAATTTTAATGGTTTTTAAATTGATTACTATCTGAGAACAAATGTTTTCAAAATATTATCAAATCGTTCACAACCACAGCCCACGTTTTTTGTTGTAATAAAAAAACGATATAACGAATGATTTTGTATTAGAAAAAAAAAAAAATAATAATAATAATAAAAAGAATATAGATTGATCGTGAATTAAAACAAAACAAAAATAACTTACTCATATTATGATTATCCTTTTTCTGTCTATCCTTTGCCAATGCATGGATCTCAGCTTCGGTTAACAAAAGTGGTTCCGGTTTAATTTGAAGATCCGGTAAATTTGTAAGACTACCACCATGATTATCCTTTAATCCATCGCCCAAGGATCCAGCCTCGAACGACAGGATATCGTCCAGGAGATCTTCCGCCTATAATTAATTAACAGAAAAATATATAATACAAATAAATTCATTGGACCAATTTTTTTTATTTATATTCGATTCATTTCTATTCATTTATTTATTCTATATTTTTTTATGAGTTACAAAAAGTTAATTAAAACTTTTTCAAAAATTATTTATTACAATCACTTATATTTTTATTTAATAATTGAATTAATAAATAAATAAAAATTACAAATGAATAATACGAAAAATTAATATATATATTGGATATATATATATATATATATA